AGTGAAAGAATTCAGTCACAAAGGACTGTATTTTACATGACCCATTTAAATGAAATGCCCAGAATAGGCAAACTCATAGAGGCAAAAAGCAGATTAGTGTTTGCCTAGGGCTGGAGGGATGGGAGACTTGGGAAGTGATGGCTAAAGAATGTGGGGCTTCTTTTTTAGGGTAATGAAAATGTTCTAAAATTGTGATGATGGACATAGAAATCTGAATATACCACAAGCTAAATACTGTGTACCTAAAAGGGTGAATTGTATGGTATGTGAATAATATCTCAATGAAGCTGTTTTTAAAAAAAAAAGATTGGGTGGAAGGAATGGGAAGGAGGAGGGAAACCAAGGTAAAACAATTCTAGCATGGGGGAGGGGGGTACACCTGGACAAAGGCATGAATGTAGAAAAGGATGTAATTTTTTTTTAAGGAACAAGTAGACTACAATTAGTACAGTGTTAAGTCGAAAGGAAAAGACTGGTGTTGACTTCCGTTAAAGAACTAGTGATCAAAGGAAAAAGGATAATGTAGGCGAGCACTATCAAATCAGAATTATGTTCAACAGAGACAGAGGGAAAAGCCAGTAGGGTAAAGAAGAGGAGAAAACTTAATGCTATAGGTTAGTAACTATCAATAATAAGACAGTAAGTAGTAGAAAGTTAGGCTAGAGGCACAAGATTATGATGGAAGGTGAGGCAGGAATAGTGAAGAGAAGTGCCTGGCTTACAGTCAACTGTAGAATAAAATGGCTCTTCTTCCACACATTATCAGAATATAAGTCTGAGAGGTCCAAGAATGTACACAGCCCGTATAATCACTTCATTTAGTGTACTAAATGAGAACTAGTTGTCATGTAAAGCAAAGCATCACATGCTTAAACCAAACAAACAAAGCTTAACAGTGCTGAGTATTGTCTACTGACAGCCCACAGATGCAAGATAATAAAATGCTATAACTTGACACCTTAAATATATACTTCCTGGATCTTAAGATAGAAAATTTGGAGACACAACACTATAAGCACTCTACCAAGAATAAAATGAACAGAGTAAGATTTGGGAGGAGCAAAAAAAGACATAAGAAAATTGGACACTTGGAAATCTGGCTTTTTAAACATATTTTAGCTGATCCTTCTAATTCATCTATTATAAATTTTATAGCTGTTTAATTTGATAAAAACATAGTTCCTTGGCAAAGAGGTGAAACTTCCTAATATCATTCCATTGTCCTCAATTCCCCTACTCCGCAAAAAAATCAGTTCCACTAATTTTAGGTTTCTCAATGATAGAACATTAGGTTGTGAGTCACTTAATCTGTGGTTACTTGTCTGGTCCATTTTTTAATACCTGTGCCAGCATTCTGTTAGGACACAATATTTCCAGAATAAGAAATTTTAAATAAAATGTTTTTTCATAGCACAGTCCATCTGATAAATTCAGAAAAGGAAATATGGAATTTGCTATCTAAGCCAGTTGACTAAAACAAAAATTTAAAATCAAGAAAGGCAGATTAATATTGTGAGATAGTAAATCAAAAGAACTCTGAAGAGAACATCACAGGAAACAGAAATTTGACCAAAAAAAATGCATTAGATATTTCAGACTAAATGCTATTGCCAACGAAGATCTTACTACAGGCCTTATGGGTGAGGATCTAAAAGAAAAGACTTTATATACTAACTCCACATAAAATAATGGCCATTGAATGGCAATAACATAATGTCTTAGTCCATTTGGGCTGGTATAACGAAACCGTACAGACTGAGTAGCCTAGAAACAGAAATTTCTATTTCTCACAGTTCTGGAGACTGGACGTCTAAGAACAGGATGCCAGCACAATCAGGTTCTGGAGAGAACCTCTGCTGGGTTGCAGACTGCCAACTTCTTCTCACTGTGTTCTCACATGGTGGAAGGGGCATGGAAGCTCTCTCTGGCCTCTTTTTATAAGGACATTAGTCTCATTCATAAGGACTCCACGCTCATGATCTAATCACCTCCCAAAGGGCCTACCTCCTAATACCATGACACTGGGCATTAGAATTTCAATATATGAATTTTGGGGAAATACAAACATTCAGACCATAGCACATAATTTAGTCTACTTAAACACTGATCAATTTAAAAAGTTTTTTTGAATGAGATAAAATTCATGTAACATAAAATTCACCCTTTTAAATTGCACAATTAAGTGGAATTTAGCACATTCAGAAGTGTGAAAATATCACCACTATCTAATTCCAGAACATTTTCATCACCCAAAAAGAAACTCATGCCCATTAGCAGTCACTCCTCATTACTCCTTTTCCCCAGACTCAGGCAACCATTAACCTACTTTCTATCTCTATGGATTTGCCTGTTCTAAGCATTTCATATAAAGGAAATCATAATATGTGACTTTTTACACACAGCTTCTTTCACTTAGCACGCTGTTTTCAAGGTTCATTCATATTGTAGCATGTATCGGTACTTCATTCCTTTTATGTCTTAATATTCCATTGTACAGATATAACACGTTTTGTTTATGCTTTCATGGGTTAATAGACATGTGAGTTGTTTCCACCTTTTGGCTATTAAGAATAATTCTAGGGGTCAGGCTGATGGCATAGTGGTTAAGTTTTCGAGCTCCACTTCAGCGGCTGGGGGTTCGGCTCCCAGGTGTGGACCTACACACCACTCGTCAAGCCATGCTGTGGCGGCATCCCATATATAAAGTAGAGGAAGACTGGCACAGACGTTAGCTCAGGGACAATCTTCCTTACCAAAAAAAAAAAAAAAGAAAAATTCTATGTGATCTCCTTTATATGTGGAATCTAAAAAAGTTGAATTCATTGAAGTAGAGAGTAGAACAGTGGTTACCAGGGGCAGGTGGGAGAAATGAGAGATGCTGGTCAAAGAGTACAAAATTGCAGTTATGTAGGATGAATACGTTCTAGAAATATAATGTATAGCATGATGAATATAGATAATAATACTGTATTGTATACTGGAAATTTGCTAAAAGAGTAGATTTCAGGTGCTCTCACCACCAAAAAAAAAAGATAACTATGTGAGGAGATATATATGTTAATTAGCTTGACTGTAGTAATCGTTTCACTAGGTATATCAAAACATCATGTTGCATACCTTAAATATATAAAATTTTTATTAAAAAATAAACATTTTAGGGCCGGCCCCGTGGCGTAGCGATTAAGTGTGCATGCTCCACTGCTGGCGGCCCAGGTTCAGATCCCAGGCACACATGCTGTGGCAGCGTCCCACGTAAAGTGGAGGAAGATGGGCACAGATGTTGGCTTAGGGCCAGTCTTCCTCAGCAGAAAAGGGGGAGGATTGGCATGGATGTTAGCTCAGGGCTGATCTTCCTCACAAATAAAAATAAAATAAAATAAACATTTTAAATACAAAAAGAAAAAAAGAATAATGCTATGAACATTCATGTACAAGATTTTGTGTGAGGACATACATTTTCAATTCTTGGGTGTACACTTAAGAGTAAAATTGCAGGGTCACAAAATAACTCTACATTTAACTTTCTGAAGAACTACCTTTCCCAAAGCAATATCAGCTATTTTTTAAGTTAATAATTCAATATGAATACACAAATTCCAAACAAGTAGAAAGAGAAAAATGAAATAAGAAATAATAGCAATTTTTTTTAAAGTAGCATAGCTAAAACAGTACAAAAGAAAACAAAACAGTAAGATGATAGAAATAAAGGCAAAAAACAATAATCACATTAACTTAAATGGACTGAATTTACTAGCTAAAGGGTAGATTATAAAACTTGATCTAAAATACCCAGTTATATTGCTATTTCCAAGACAAGTAATTAAAGCATAAAAACATAAACGGGTTTTAATTAAAAGAATTCAAAAGGAAGTACAGGCAAATACCAACCAAAAGAAAGCTAACTGTAACTATGTTAATATAAAAAAAAATAGATATAAGTCAAAAGACTGTCTGAGGTATAGACTCACTACATTTAATAAAAGAATTCAAAAAGTGAATATAAATATGTATATGTGTATTTTTATATACACACTAAAATTTGCATACTATTTCAGGGGATTCAGAAAATTCAAAGCCCTTTCATAAGCCCCAAGTTAAGAATTTCTAGGCTAATGAAACATTTGTCTTGTCATTCTTTATAGAATCCTAAAACCTGACACAAAACAACTATAAAATTTTACATTAGTCACTGGCTATACCAAATAAAAAGACTCTAATTATAATGCATGTTTTTAGAATTTATAATATATTCCCCACAGTAAGGTCTGCAATCAAAATCTTCAAAAGCATTATATGAGAACAAAAACAATTTTTATTAGACAAATGAAGTAGAAGATAAAAATGTTATTATTTTAAGCATGATTACACTTAAAAATATATCCTTTAAAAACTATTTTTTTTTTTACTGACAAAAGTAACACGACTATTTTGAACTGAAACAACTGAAAAAAGCCTTCCATAAGTTGTTTTGTTTACATGCAAACTGAGTGACAAAATGAAGATAATATCTCTTATACTGGCATCAAAACAGATTTTTTATTTTTAATAATTCATTCATTCAGGGTATAAGACTAACGTTTTCCACACAAAAAGGATAATTTGCTCACCAAGTCTTAAAGTACTATGATCAAGAATTTTATTTCACTTTACCAGCATAATCAAACATACTTAATTTATACTTGATTTGGTTATCATTTCAAACGTACACACTGATACCCTCAAAAGTTATCCATGTAAGGCCAAATGGTCAATTGTACAAGGAGTTGGTGGAAAATAACCTCTTTCAACTATAAAACATATCCAGAAATTAGTGGTAGGGAACAAAACTGAACAGCTTAACTCATATCCTGGATTTTACCCAGGAGCTATAAATATCCACTTTCACAGGAATATACTACAATTTCAGTTGAGCACACTATACATATGAATTTGAATGACAAAATATTAGTCACCTCTAATAAGAATTTTTCATATACTTCTCAAGAAGATTGTGCTCTTACCTACAGTTGGGAAAACCTCATTCATCAAAGCTTCATTCACTGCTGCAGAGCTGACATTTCCAATATGACACCAACTTTGATATATTGCTTGCAGCAGAAGTGTCTGTGCTCTGGTGGCTTGAACTGTGAGATTTGGAAGTTCAAATATACCTTCAGTTATAGCAATCTGAGATCTTTTGGTCCTGCATAAGACAAGAGAAAGAATAACAATACAATAAATAGCATTTACAAACAACAACATATAAAATGAATTAGATTGCAAGGGGAGAAAAGAAATACATTAAAGGCCCCGTGGCTTAGCGGTTAAGTGCGCGCACTCCGCTGCTGGCAGCCCAGGTTCAGATCCCGAGCGCGTACCGACGCACCGCTTCTCTGGCCATGCTGAGGCCGCGTCCCACATACAGCAACTAGAAGGATGTGCAGCTATGACATACAACTATCTACTGGGGCTTTGGGGGAAAAAATAAATAAAATTGTTTAAAAAAAAAAAAAAAAGGAAATACATTCAAAATATTTTAAAATAGAATTACATCAAATAGATATGCAATTCTACTAATTTTAAATGTTTCACTATTTCAGAACAGTGAACAATATATAATAATAAATTACAATAATACAAAATACATAATACACAAATTACAATAAAAAATAAAAATATAAACTAGAATAATGTCCATACATACAAATTTATACACATATACTCTGCTCAAGCAACTATACCTTTTCAATCATCAAAAATAACAATGAAAATAATACTAGTTAACACTTATAGAGAATTTACTAGCAGATCTGCATTGTTCTAAATGTCTTGTATCTATCAATACCCTATCAATAAGAAACCCATTTTAAATATAAAGAAGATAGGTTAAAAATAAAGGATAGAAAAAAAATAACCCCTTGTAAATCTAATCCAAAAAGAGTATATGTTAACATCAGACAAAAGGAGACTTCAGAACAAGGAATATTACCAGGGATAAATAAGGAAATTTCATAATGATAAAAGGGTTAGTTAGGTTTGTATGCACTACAGACCCTCAAAACGTATAAATCAACAAAACACATAACTGAAAATAGAAACAGAAACAAAAAGTGAGTAAAGATAAAAAAGATAATATATCAACTTGGCCTAATTGACATTTATAGCACTTCCCTCCAAAGAACAGCAAAATACACATTTATCAAGGCAGACTACATTCTGGGCCACAAAAACAAGTCTCAACAAAATGAACAGGATTGAAATCATACAGAGTATACGTTTTGATCACAACGGAATTAAATACAAACTAATAAAAGAAAGGTATCTGTAAAATCATTAAATATTTGGTAAAGAAAACATAACTCAAAATACAATCAGAAACATGGCAGATAAAATTCAAAAGTCACTCAAAATGAAAATTTTGAAAAATTATAGTCATTTTAGAAAAGGACATCGATATATAATCAATGTGATATACCACATTAACAAAATGAAGAATAAAAATCACCTGATCATCTCAATAGATACAGAGAAAGCATTTGACAAGATCCAACATCCATTTATGATAAAAACTCTCAACAGAATGGGTATAGAAGGAAAGTACATCAACACAATAAAGGCCATATATGACAAACCCACAGCCAACATCATACTCAACAGGGAAAAACTGAAAGCCACCCCTCTGAGAACAGGAACAAGACAAGGGTGCCCACTCTCGCCACTCTTATTCAACATAGTACTGGAGGTTTTAGCCAGAGCAATTGGGAAAGAAAAAGAAATAAAAGGTGTTCAAATTGGAAATGAAGAAGTGAAACTCTCCCTGTTTGTGGATGACACGAAAACCCTAAAGAATCCATGAGAAAACCATTAGAAATAATCAACAACTACAGCAAAGTTGCAGGGTACAAAATCAACTTACAAAAACCAGTTGCATTTCTATACTCTAGTAATAAACTAGCAGAAAGAGAATTCAAGAATACAACCCCATTTACGATCACAACTAAAAGAATAAAATATCTAGGAATAAATTTAATCAAAGAGGTGAAAGACCTATACACTGAAAACTATAACACATGATTGAAAGAAATCGATGATGACACACAGAAATGGAAAGATGTCCCATGCACATGGATTAGAAGAATAAACATAGCTAAACTGTCCATATTACCTAAACCAATCTACAGATTCAATCAATTCCAATCAGAATCCCAATGACATTCTTCATAGAAATAGAACAAAGAATCCTAAAATTTATATGGAACAACAAAAGACCCCAAATAGCCAAAGCTATCCTGAGAAAAAAGGAACAAAGCTGGAGGCATCACAATCCCTGACTTCAAAATATACTATAAAACTATAGAAATCAAAACAGCATGGTACTAGCACAAAAACAGACACACACATCAATGGAACAGAATTGAGAGCCCAGAAATAAAACCACACATCTACAGACAGCTAATCTTCAACAAAGGAGCCAAGAACATACAATGGAGAAAGGAAAGTCTCTCCAATAAATAGTGTTAAGAAAACTGGACACCCAAATGCAAAAGAATGAAAGTAGACCATTATCTTACACCATACACAAAAACTAACTCAAAATGGATTAATGACTTGAATGTAAGACCTGAAACCATAAAACTCCTAGAAGAAAATATAGGCAGTATACACTTGAACACTGGTTTTAGCAGCATCTTTCTAAGTACCATGTCTACTCAGGCATGAGAAACAAAAGAAAAAATACACAAATGGGACTACATCAGACTCAAGAGCTTCTGCAAGGCAAAGGTAATCAAGAACAAAATGAAAAGACAACCCACGAACTGGGAGAAAATATTTGCAAATCATATATCTGACAAGGGGTTAATCTCCAAAATATATAAAGAACTCATACAACTCAACAACAAAAAAACAAACAACCCCATTAAAAATTGGGCAGAGGGTATGAACAGACATTTTTCCAAAACAGATATACAGATGGCCAATAGGCACATGAAAAGATGTTCAACATCACCAGTCACTAGGGAAATGCAAATCAAAACTACAATGAGATATCACCTTACACCTGTCAGAATGGCTATAACTAACAAGACAAGAAATAACAAATATTGAAGAGGAGGTGGAAAAAAGGGAACCCTCATACTCTGCTGGTGGGAATGCAAACTGGTGCAGCCACTATGGAAAATAGTATGGAGATTTCTCAAAAAACTAAAAATAGAAATACCATACAATCCAGCTATCCCTCTACTGGGTATCTATCCAAAGAACTTGAAATCAACAATTCAAAGAGATTTATGCACCCCTATGTTCACTGCAGCATTATTCACAATAGCCAAGACATGGAAGCAACCCAATTGCCCATCAACTGATGAATGGATAAAGAAGATGTGGTATATATATAGAATGGAATACTACTCATCTATAAAGAAAAGACAAAATCGTCCCATTTGCAACAACATGGATGGACCTTGAGGGTATTATGTTAAGCGAAATAAGCCAGACAGAGAAAGATAACCACCACATGATTTCACTCATATGTAGAAGGTAAACTAACACATGGACAAAGAGAAAAGATGGGGTTTGGGGGTGGGCAAAAGGGATAAAGGAGCACATATATATGGTAATGAATAAAAATTAGACTATTGGCAGTGAGCACCTGAAGTGGACTGAACACCTGACATTTCACAATGTTATAAACCATTATGACCTCAATAAAATAACTGAAAAAAAAGAAAAGGCCATTGATATAGATGACAGAAAAGGGCAATCTAAAATATACATAATCAGTGCTCCTGGAGAAAACAGCAAAACAAATAGAATAGAAATCATATATACAAATGTCTAACAAAAGAAATCGTGCTTAAAATACTTAAATCTACACACAAAGTACACAATGAGTCAAAAAAAATATTAAGAATAATCATTATCCTAGGAAAGTTATGCCAAGAAAGATAAAGAAAAAAATTCTATGGGCATTCACTCAGATAAAGTAACGTGGAGGTACCAGGACTTCTCCAGATTTTCTCTACTTTCTATTAAACTCCCTAACCTGTCCACTACAGTCTAGTAAAAACAATCAATGTGTGTGCACAACTCACCATTAGAAGAATATAAAGGGATTTCAAGCAATAATCCTATGTAGTTGAGATACTGATAGAGTCTCATGTCAATTGGCTACCTTTCACTTTCCAAGTATGCTTTTAATTTCAGTCATCTTTCAAGTCAATCAACTCCTTTTCTAGCCATTGCTATTGCAGCCAAGGACTACCTTGCAAATAAACCTAATATCCCTCAAAATCTAGACTGAGTTTTTACTTTGTGGTTCCTAGGTCTATGAAAAGATGAGCTGTAATGTGGTTGCTGTGACTTTAACTATTTAGGTCCCAGATTAGGCCTAGCTGTCTTCAAGCTTCATGTTGAAGTTGTTCTCTGGAAAATCAATAAAATCAGCAAATATATTTATTAATTTCCAACTCTGTAGCAGTCATGTATTAGCTACTTAGGCAATATCTTGGCCATTTTAAGATATCAATGAGCAAAACAGAAAAATTAAAATCCCAGTGTCCTCACAGAGCTTACATTTTAATAAGGAGGGGAGGCAGATAAAAATCAATAAATATAATAAGTAAATAAATGATATAAGTTAGACAAATGCTATTGGAAATAGAAAAAGTAGAACATAGAAGAGGGACTGCTGAAGAGGGAGCAATTTCATATCCAGTGGGTAGATCTTATTAAAAGGATAGATCTAATTCCGTGCAAAGCTTGAGCAGACTCGAAGGAGATAAGAGACAGCTATGTGGGTATCTCTGGAAAGTGACTCAGGCAGATGGAACAGTCTGTGAAAAGGTCCTGAGTAGAACTGGGCCAGGCAAGTCCAAGCACCAGCAAGAAGGCCAGTGTGGCTGTAGCAGTTTGATAGTAACTTAATTCACTAATTCAATTGGTTTTCTATGGGTTCTATCTAGAAGAAATATCTGAATAGGCTTTACACAGCCTTCATCTGAGATTCCATCATCTGTCTGATTTCATAGGGTTCAATTTCCTGAATTTATTTATATTTTTAAATCTCTTATCTTTCACCCTACTCTCAAAGTTTTTCACTTAAGGTACTGAATGTAGGGGACAAAATTTTAAAAATCTAAATTCCAATTCTGGCTAAATCATTTATTTGCTTTATGTTTTTAGGGAAAAAAAATTACATAACTT